TGCCCTCTCAGCCTCACGCCTGGGCACCAGCTTATTCTTGGCTGGGAACGTCCTCACCTCAGTGTCCTCCTGGGCTTCCTTAGTGAGGACTATCTCCTCACAGTTCCACCAAACTTTCCAAGTAACATTATTTATACATTCTATAGCCTTGTTATCACCTGCATAAGCTTTATTTATAAATATTTAGGGCAAGGTTGTGTTGCTGTGAGCAGGCAAAAGACCATTTTTTTTAATCTTTAAATTTCCAGTGCCTGTCATAAAGTAGATGTTCAGTAAATGTTTGTTGAATAAAATCAGTGAAAAAAGAATCACATGAAATTAAACACTACATTAACTGAAGACTGATAACAATGTGGTTAAGAGGATAGAAATAAAGGATGGGGTTACATTGCTCAGGGTGAAATAGTTGCTCCTTCCTTTGACAGCCATGTTATATTGAACAAGATACTTAAAATGCCTGGGTTTCACATCTCTAAAATGGGGCTAATCATGGAACCTGCTTGATTACTTGCTGAGAGAATCAAATGAATTAATATATAGAAAGTATTTTAAAGAGTTCTGGCACATAGTAATCACTCATTCAGTGTTAACTACCATCATTATTCTTTTTTATGAGAATATTAAAAATGTAAGTAGAGAAACCCATTACTGAAGGGCCAAATCAGTTTTGAACACACTCACTATAATATATGATATTATAGTCATAGAATTCTCCTGGTTTTGCCCACCCAGCATCTTTCCCACCCTTTTCTATAATAGCTCTCAGGTTTTCCTTTGACAAATCAGCTCTCTGTCCCTGGTAGGTTCTGGAGCCAGGCATCCAGCCCAGACATGGACTGGAGAGTCAGAAATTGGCTCAGGGACGGGGACACGGCCCAAGCTGGACCACTGACATTTAGACTGGCACCTTTGCTGGGACCAATGGCAATGAGGTAATGAAAACATGAGCCTGCAGCTGCTGCTGGGAGGGAAGCAGAGCCCACAGATGGAAAGAGACAAAATCCTGATCATGTTAGGTGATGTTCTGCATCCTGCTGAGGTTGTGCAGTTTTTGTTTTTTTGGTTTTTTTTTTTTAATTGTTTTAATTCATACAAGCCAGTAAATTCCCTTTCCAGCTTCATTCAGTTTGGATGGAGGTTTGTCACTACAACCCCAAATGTCCTGAGTAGTGTAATCACAACCAGTCATCATAAAGGGAAAAGCTTACAACATTAGTATTTCATTAAGTCCTATATGCACTTCAGGGCATCATTGTAAAGGGCCTACTTTACACTAGAAATTTGTATCCAAACGAAAATGGAGATTATTTACAGGGTTATCAAAGGAAAACAAAAAACTCCTAAAACACACACACCAAAAAAACAAACAAAACCATAGCTCCTTCACACTTGATGGCCCAAAAAAAGTAAATAAAAAACCCTAGAAAAATAGTAGTCTCATTTTCATGTATGTGACACTCCAATGAATTTATAGAAAAGGCAGGTTTTGAGGCTACTCCAGAAATCCTACATCAGGCCCAGGAATTTCCGTTTCTCATGAGTACCTCAGGGGTGCTTACTGCCCACTGATGCTGATGGTCCACTTTGAGAAACGCTACCTGGGAGGGTCCAGCTCCTCCTAGATGCTGTAGATCATTCTAGAGTACAAAAATCCAGCTGAGAGGTAAATCCCAGACTCTGACAAAATAGAGAAATTCCATAATGATTTCATGAACTAGAAGATCTACAAGGCCAACTCTGAGTTTAAGCATGAATTCTGAAGATGTTGGCAAATTTGCTCTAAAAATCAACTCTAAAAATGGAAAAATATAAGCATTATGTCCAGTTCTCTCAATGGCTATTTTATATAAAAAAGGAAGTGATATACAACAAAAACAATTTAAAAATTGATTACAAGCTTATGGCTTTATCTTTCATAACAATAAACTATAGTAACTTTGCAGTAGGTCATATCATACAATTAACAAAGATGGCCTTTGAGAATTCATTTCAGTTTTTAACAGAGCAGCTATAATGAGTACAATTATAATAATTGGTAAGAAGCTTTTATAGCATTTTGTAATACACAAAAGACAACATGGCAAAATAGAATAGGTTGTTTTCTAAAGGCACCATGTGAGTTTCACAAAGAAAATCTTATGTAGACTGTGACGTGTATGGAGGTGATATGAAAATCACTTGACATCACATCAGACACCACGAAAATTAGAAAACCATTTCCTGATGTGCATCCAAGTTTGCCTTTGTTAAGTCAGTAAATAATCATCAATGATGTGACTGAATCACAGAAACTATCTAGCCCTCCTCAATAGCAGTTCCCTAAGAGAATTAAGCCTAGATACTATAAAGCATCCACTCTGCGTAATGGATTGACATTCTTATGCATGTTAAATGGCCTCTGTACCCTCCTTGAGAGAATTAAGTCTTTCAAATCATCTTCTGTAAGGCTTAGATGCCTAATGAAACCCAGTTTAGAAAGACTAACTGACACTCCTTAAATTGAAAATACATACTCTGGGACAAATAACCGTGTAAATTTCCATTCCAAGCAAGGTGGTCTAGCAATAAAAACAGTAGTTCTCAAGTAGTTTGTGGTTCTACTTGCAAGGCTTTAAATTGTTGAGAGTCATACTTTGAGCATCAATACACATTTTATGCTCTGAGATAATGACATCAGTGGAACTCTCAACTGTAGTTCTTCAGAACCACACAATAGAATTTAATCTACAGCATGAATGTCTTGGACTCCTTCCACAACCATTAATTGTTAAACTGCCAAGCTCATCTCATTATGCGGAGATCCTATTCAACCCAAGGAAAGTACAGTCGTATGACTTCAGCTAAATTGCACAACAAATTCTGATTCGTTCAGTGGTTTGAGCTTTGTAAAATGTTTACACATTTATAATGTGTTTCTATGTGGAGACTGATAGTATCTGATTTTAATTTTTGTGTCAGATCCGGCTAGTCCACCATTTCAATATCCACTCTCCCTTCATTTCTAATAGAATCTGGATTTTTAACTGCACACATAGTAGAATAAAAGACTACATTTTCTAGCTTCCCTTGCAGCTAGATATATGCAATGAAAGCAGAAGTAAGTAGTAATGTTGTATAGAAGTAGAAAATAATTTCACTGGGCTCTTCTGTACCCTTCTGCTCCCCCTTCTCCCCATTTTTTGCCTGCCATAACGTGTGATCAACGGAAATCCCATAACTATCTTGAACCATAAAGCGACCTTAACTGTGGAGGCCATGCATTAGAATGATGGAGCAGAAAGATAAAAACAACCTCACTCTACCACACCACTGACATACATTCCTGGGCTGTCTACCTTTAGACTCCTTTAACATGAGAGAGCAAGACATTTCTATTACGCTTAATGCTCTGTTCTTTAGAGTTTTCTTAAACCAAATTAACATACACATGCAATTTATTATTCAGTAAAGGCCAAGTGAATTTAATAAACTAATTGGGACTAAATATTTGAACTTTTATAATACCTGAAACTTAAATAATGTATTTAAGACAAATAAAAACAATTAGCACTTTATCTAATGGTAAACATACAGGAACAAAATTTTTTATTGGTTAAAAATATATGTAAATTAAAGAGGAATTTAGATCAATGATAAGAAAAAGAAAATCAGAAGTCAGTACATGTGGTACAAACAATAATTAATGAAATGAGTATTATGGTAGGTAACTATCATATGACATATACTTATCAAAGGTAACAAACTGAGCCCAAAAAGTATGGGTTGAAGTTTGACATACAGACATACTGTGTATCTTTCTTATTTGTATATTGGTTCTTGATGCTTTTGTGTGACCCATTCATTCTATGTCTACTTATATTGAATAATCAACTTCTGGGCTGAATGGAAGACTTTGGTCCTTTAGCTTCCATGTACAGCAGACAGACATCTTAGAAAAATACCCAGGACAACAGAAAATTATTAACATGCCTTTGATGTCCAGTGAATCCTTTTAAGTCTGATTTTTGCTGTGCACTCTTGAAAAGGCACTAAAATATTTTAAATAGGCCTAGCAAAAGGATCAAAAACATTAGATTGCATTTAAAATAAAATCTACTCCTTAGATTGCTTTTGATTATCCAGGCAGAAAGTTTGTTTCCGTGTTGCTCTATAAAACAAGAATTTGTGTTTATCATGATTATTTGATCAGCAATATTTTGTTTTGGGAAATATTCATGTTAAATATCCTACCAAGATCTTAGAGCTAACCAAGCTCCTGTCTACTCCAGTGGTAGGCAGACCTTTGGGAAAACCGTAAAGACTCATTTCTTCCGTATAATCTCAGTGTTATTCATTTAATACCTTCAAATCCTTGCTCTGCATTCATATGCAAATATCTGCAGTTGTGTTTATGTAAATTATTGGCACACAGTATTCACTCTAACCACATAAGGCAGTGTGTAGGTATCACATGTAATTAGAGTGATATACCTATGGCCTCTTCAGTCAGCTACTGCATGCTCTTCCTTATGTTAACCACAAGTAGGGAAAGACATTATTTAGGAAGATTATTTTTCAGGAAAACAATTTTTTTAATCATTAACTTCTCTATTACAAATATACGGATGGTCCCTGATTTACAATGGTTCCACTTATGATTTTTTTGACTTACAGTGGTTTGAAATCGACATGCACTTGGTAGAAATCTACTTCAAGTACCCGTACAACCATTCTGTTTTTTACCTTCACTATAGTATTCAACAAATTACATGCGACATTCAACATTTTATTATAAACAGGCTTTGTGAAAGATGATGTTGCCCAACTGTAGGCTAACGATAGTGTTCTGAGTATGTTTAAGGTAGGCTAGGCTAAGCTATGATGTTCAATAGGTTATGTGTATTAAATGCATTTTCAACTTATAATATTTTCTACTTATGATGAGTCTACCAGGATGAGACCTCATGGTAAGTCAAGGGGCATCTGCATGGCTATTGAGATGGCAAGATGAAGATACTTACCCCTGTGACATCCATAACCTTAATGGCTGCAAGCTGGCCCGTTTTGACATGACGACCCTGTGAAGAAAAAAAATAAGATTTAGTTCTGATGACCAATAGCCTCATTCAATTCATACCATAAAGAAAAACTGCTTGGATCAGAGCTGTACTATGTCAATGGGGACAGACAGAAAGACAGATATGCACAGAAACATCATGTTAAGTAGATATTTTTATTTTGTAAAATATTTTGTGTTTCTCTCGTAAAACATCCCCAGTCACTTTATTTTCACAGTGGGTGTCCAGTTAAATAAAAAAAATGCAATGTTGAACAATTTGGTTCTACCTCCTCTCCAAGGCATTGGACAAGAGCTTATGTGAGAGGAAGACTTACATGGAAGGGGAGCTAGGCCTGCGTGGAGAATACACAAATATCTCTCTGCTAGAAAACACTCAATAGAAGAAGAAACTTTGGTTTCCTTCATTCTTAAAATATCTTTTAATGGTTTTGTTTGGATATGATTCTGCTATCATTCATCTGAGATTGTTCACTTATCTTTATTTTAAAAGGGAGCCTAAAATAAAAGAGACAGCAATCAATCCAAATTTGCGATCAAGGAGACAGTGTTGAACATTAGCGACTGCTTCCCGAAGGTGCGCACCTTTGGTCTTTAGAATCACGATGAAGCAGCAACCACATGGCAGGATCAGGAGCGAGTAGGGTGTGCCAAGGGGCACTCTCAGAAGAGAACTATTTTCTCTTTGCTTGCTCCTTGAGAAAACACAATGTCTACATGTGACTCTCAGACTACAGCAAAGATGGTCATACTTACGACGACTTCTATGTGAATTTTATATATAGCTCCCAAAATACATTTTACCTCTTGCTATTAGGCAATAAAATATAGCTTCTACGATCAGCTGGGTTCAGATCTTAGCTGCATGACCTTAGGCAAGTCCCTTAACCTCCCAGGCCTCAGTTTCCTCATCTCAAAACTTGAAATAATACCACCTAATGCGTCGAATTGCAGGGGGAACGATACGAGATAATGTATACAAAGTACTTGACAGGCAGTTTTGCTGTCAGCAGATGCTGGCTGTACTTATGTGTGCTCCCATCTTCCGATTAATTTTAAATGTTGTCTCCCCTACTAAACTATACGTTTCATAAAGGCAAGGACTGTGTCTTATCAATGTATTTCCAGTGCCTGGAAGAGTGAGTGCCTACCCCGTAGATGCTGTGGCATGTGCATGAACTCACAACAGGTAAGGAGGTATACGTAATTGCGGTGTGGAAGGAGTGGTTGGCCTGGTGCGATCCAGATTCGGTGGTTGAGGTTGGGGAAAACGTGCTGGTTTAGTTGGACCAAATTTCTAAAAAAATTGTGGTAGAAAATATCATTGGGCCAATTTTGTAACCGAGACCTCCTATATCCTCATGTTCTTGAAGCTTTTACCTTTTTCTGCCACTTCTCTCCCTTACCACCCCAATTTTCCCCACTCCTCTGACCCTTTAACTCCTGCGCACTCTGCCTGTCTTTTCTTCCCACACATCTCAGCTTTAAACATCTATCGACTCTGATTCTGGTGGGCATGTTTCCTTCAGCTTTTGACCCCCATTCTGCTGCCCTTTTTCTCTCCTCGTTTAGGAAAGAACACAGAGGACAAAGTAGGTCAGTTATCCAATATTGTCACGACACAGCCCCTCACACTTATTTCAGCTTTCCTGAAATCGAGGGAGGGGGTGGCGTGTTACCCTGTCAGGAGGCCTGGACCACAATCCCAGAGGCCCGGTTCTTGTCCAGGCTCTGCCCAGGACCTCCGGACATGTCTGGACCCTCATTTCCCCATCTACAAAGTGTGGGAGGCTGGGCTCAGTGGTTAGTGCAGAGGGCGGTGAGTCGGTATCAGCACTACCAACTCTTTCCATCCCAAGGAGCTTTTAGAAATTTAGTTTTCACAAGATAGAGAAGTGCCACTCCTACAGAACCGGGACACTAACTTTCTCGCAGAGCGGCCGTGCTACCTTTCCTGCAAGCCATAAGTCAATTTTGCACAAGGAAAAAGTAGCAATTGCCTCCTCTTTGGAGTCTGCGATGCCATGATGACCCTTGCAAAGGAATCCATAGCTTTGCAACCAACAGTGGACTTTAAAGTAATGGCTATAAATCATATCTTAAATAATGGCTATCTACTAAAGCACTGAAAGCAGGTAGGGGAAATGTAGGCAGATACGGAGGGTCTGTCTGATATTATTCAGCTGATTTACCTTGAAATTATTTTAATGGTGCCTGTAATAGCATACAGGCAAACTGCTGGGCATGTTGCAGTGCCCTCTGGAGCTGACCCCCTTCTGCCACGCCACCTTGGTAGGCTCCCACCTGCTCTTACTATGTGGACCTTGAGAACAAACTCTGCACTTCTGTAAATGTACTGTATTGTGTCTTGCCTCTCCGCGGCTGCGTTTTCTTGTTCTGGGATGCCCTGTGCCTTCTTGACTCCTCAGAAAACTCTCTCTCTTTCTAGATTCAATTAAAGTACTCTGTCCTCTGATACCTCACTGTCGATCTCTCATCACCTCCGTCCATCAATGAACATGTCCCTGTCTGTATTATTCCAGGGAACTCAAAGGATCAATGTCCCTCTCCTTCTCTGGTCTTCCTTGCCTCTCTCCCTTCCTTCCCCTGTGGCTCCACTTGCAGCACTACTGTCTCCCAAATAAAACCTTAAGTGCAGCTCCCCTGGTTCAAGCAGGGACTTGACCACCCAACTCTACTCTGCTCTGCCTCGCAATTCCCCTCATTCCTGAGGGGGTCCCTGAGGCATGCCTGCCAGCAGGCAGTTTGAGAGACTTTGCACTAGATTTTCAAGCCCTTACCAAGCAGCAAATCCTCTCTGAGTGAATAATTTGTTACAAGCACACCTCAATGCCCAGTTCTTTCCCTTAGCAGCCTGGGGCTGAGGTAGCTCATGGTACTGGCCCAAGGCCAGAGGTGAAGTGGGGTAAAAGTGATCTGTGTTACAAATGCAGGCAGTGGGCAGTTCTTGTTGAAATAAAAATATCAGCTCTTAAAAAAAAAAACTTAGTATACATGGTTTTTGTTGTTGCTATTTTTTTTTTTTAAAGTAGCCACTAGGAAAATGACAGAAGTTAACACTGGAAAAGAAAACAACATTATGTTTCTTCCATTTTAAATTTCATTTCCAAACTAAAACAGCAGTTCTCAATGGGTCTGACAGATGACTGAATATACCTTGGGATGGCAGTTTGGGCCTACATGGGATCCTGGAGGTATTGCATGTAGGTATCCCATGAAGTAGCAGCCTCAGATCGCTCCCAGGCAAAGGGATCCCCATGCTCTAGAGCACGAAGGATGCTACGCTGTCACAGCTTACTGATCAGGAAACGGCCACGAAGGAACATGCCCAGCATGAGCTGCCTGTCATATAAGGCCAAGTTACGATCTACACGAAGGCAGACTTGGAGGGAATGGCAGCAAGTCAGCCGACCTAAAGCTCACTAGGAACTGAGGCACAGTCATGGCAAGACAGTTTTTAAAGAGGCCACTTTATAAAATCAGAAATGAATTGGGTAGGAATACCCCCTAAGAGCCTAATCCAATCCTGTCCTTTTAGAGATGAGGCCAAAATCTCACATGTAAACTCAGGACATATTCTCCTCTGTCCCACTTCTACCATCCGGTTCCTAAATCACAAATTTCTATCACCAAACTTTAAAAATAATTTTTAAAACAAACTCTTAATATTTTCCTTAACTTGAGCTGAATATCAAACTAGTCATCTCTGCATGGCATAGAATTTTTAACTGTTTTTTAAATTTGGGGACAGTGTAACAAAGGGGGATGTTATTACAATTGAATTTTAAAGAGAAGATGTAATATTGCCCCCCAATGCTAATTTATTTTCTTTTATAAGAGAAATTTAAAATACAATTATAGACACCATGTAGATTTAGATCTAAAATACATGTTTCAAGCTGGTGCAGTGCTGCTTGACTGTACTCCCAGCTACTTGGGAGGCTGAGGCAGAAGGATGGCTCAAGTCCAGGAGTTCAAGGCCAGCCTGAGAAACACAGCAAGATCCCATCTCTAAAATGAGCAAATGGATGAACAACAACAACAAAAATACATGTGTAACCAATAACTAAAAAAGAAATTCTGAAAAGCAAAAACTAAAAGGAGACAAAAGAGTTAAAAAAAATTCTCCATAAAAATTAGAGAAAATGTCCTATCAGATTGCAATTGCTGAGTCATGTTTTAATGAACTAAATGTTTTTTTCCTGCTGAAATAACCAATAACGGCAAAAGCTAGTGAACACACTAAATCTAGAAAAATAAAACTGACATCCTGGTAGGACCCCAACCCTAATGTCAGATAATGTCCGAAAGCATAAAGGATGCTTCCGCCAGAAAGGAACGAGGAAGGCATCAAAACAAGGAAGGCAGAGCCTTGGGCCCACTCAGTGCTGGGGGCATGGCTCAGCCTGGTCCTCTGACATGCTTAGGAACCTACTCTGCTCCCTTCTTCCCTTCTTTCTCACTTTTGAGGTAATGAACTATGCTGATCCTCATTCTATGTAAGATCATTCAACATATAGGTGAAATCTAAATCACTCAAGTACTATTAATATGATACCCTAACCTTTCCTTTAACTCCTCCCTAAAATGAATGCAAGAGAAAACAATAGTTTTGTTTTCATAGTCACATATGCCTTACCTCTGTTACTGCTATTTTCTAAGGAAGAGCAAGAGGATTTTTCAGCTGCTAGCCTAAGGCTAGCCCGGAAGACAGAGTGCTTTTATTTCTAGGTCACCCACATACGTTTGTTTCTGGCAAAGCGCACAGCAATCCACCTTTGTTGAAAATTCAGATATTCTCCCCACCATCTTCATCCTCCTGCCCAATGCCCCTCATACACAGGAAGAGAGTGGCTCATTCTCCTTCGTATTTACCTTAGATTTTTTCTTTCTTTTCATTTTCTTTTTATTTATTTATTTTTATTGCATTTTAGGTTTCAGGGTACATGTGAAGAACATGCAAGATTGTTGCATAGGTACACACGTGGCAGTGTGATTTGCTGCCTTCCTCCCTTCACCTGTATCTGGCATTTCTCCCCATGCTAACTCTCTCCAACTCCCCACCCAGAGTGTAAATTAGTTCAACCATTGTGGAAGACAGTGTGGGGATTCCTCAAGGACCTAGAAATAGAAATTCCATTTGACCCAGCAATCCCATTACTGGGTATATATTCCAAAGGATTATAAATCGTTTTACCTTAGATCTAATCTCCACTTTACTGAGGAAGTCTTTTTCAGTTTCCTAATTGCAAATGAGTACTCCACCTTTGTGTTCCCAGAGCATCGTAACCCAACCCCACTGATCACAGCCAGCACCGTGATTTTTTCAAAACATGCATCACCAGAACCATGAAAATAAATCAAATCAAAACAAAAAAAGCAGAATGTAGAATACGTAGTAATGGCAGCTGTTGTTTTATGTCTCACCTTTTCTGATTCATTCTCTCTCTCTCTCTCTCTCTCTCTATCTGTCATTTATCTATAAATCATAGATGCTGCAGTGTGCCACCAAGATTCTCAAGTACAGACTGAAGTACCTGACAACTCTCAATCAGGTCTCTCTCTGGGAATGGCCCTTAGACAAAGAGCCACCTCACCCAAGGTCATGCTCCCTCCTGGAGACAGGTGAAGGACGATGGCAACTTGGATAGGATATCCTTGGAAGGATAGAAGTGGTGGAGAATGTGGGAGTGGACAGAATTCAGAGACATTCAAGAGGCCAAATGAAGAGGACTTGGGAATAGATTGGTTATATATTTCCCTTGTGCCTTCATAGTGCTTTGCACAGCAGGGACTCAGCAAATATTTGCTGAAAAACAGACTGAATGAAGGCATGAGATTTGAGGGCTGCGTTTGGGTTCTTGGTACCAGCCACATATCTACACTAGCTTCCCCTACCCCCACATTTCCCCAGCCACAAAGTTCATGGGACCAGATAGGGTGAGGTTGTTAGCAGAGTTATAATCGTTTTGCCCATAAATAAAAAGCTGGAAGATGAATGTAAGTGGATGAAGTTCTTTTAAACTCTGCAGAGAGACCAACTTACTATCCCTTTCCACAGATCACAGAGAAAACAGAAACTGGTTTTAGCTTTACTTCTGAGCTGTCATGATAAGAACAAACGTGAACTCTGGTTTTCCGCTCCCAGTTAAGACTGAAGCTTAGTTAAAATATCTATCTGGACATCTTTAGGAATGCTACCTTTCTTTGATACAATATGTCTTGAGGCAAAGAGACAGACAAGACGACATTATGAAGACTCCAAAGATCCTTATGATCAAGTAACACAAATGTTCACAAAGTATACTTGGCACGATGTCCATATTCCTAAGTCATCCCCAGGTTAAATGGAGCCTTTGTGTTTCCATGGCCTACATGTGTCATTCATTGGTGGCTTAGAAACCCTGCTCTCCATATCTGCAGAACTGTGATCCAGACTTCATGGCTCCCAGACTTGCAGCAGAGGTAACGCAAGGTACCTACTCAGGATGGTGCCCAAGCAATTCTTCTGCATCTCAACACCACTCACTGTGAATTCCTTTGCTTGGCACCTCTGAGTGACAGAAAATGGATTGTTTTCAAGATTGTTCCGGGGTGGGCCAACCGAAAGCTGAGACTTGCACACAGACGTGAAGTGGGGAAGAAGAGACTGGGTTTCATTTTTCTTTGTTAGAAACTAGGATTCTTCAGTCTTCATGGCTGCCAGCTTGGCTCAGTTTATAAACCAAAATGGATGCTCAAAGGGAAAAAAAAAATCAAATAGTCACAATTTTTAGCAGACAATAGTTAATGTATGCAGATTCCGTGGCAGGGAGCCTAATGCCTGTACCCAGGAAAGGCACGCACAGCTGAAGCGACAGCAGTGACGAGGCAGACAAGCTGAGGGGTGACGGGAGCTCAACAGCAGACGAGCCAGCCTCTGGGCCAGGGCCTCGCGCCAAGAACACACTTCCCAGTAACCTCCCCTCAACCCAAAAATTGAGCACAAAACCAAAGCTCTCACTGGCTCTCATCTAATTTATACCACAGGATTACCACAATCTGTGGCTTTCTTTTATTTTTATTTCTTTTTTTGAGACGGAGTCTTACTCTGTTGCCAGGCTGGAATGCAGTGATGCCATCTCGGCTCACTGCAACTTCCGCCTCCTGGGTTCAAGCGATTCTTCTACCTCAGTCTACCAAGTAGCTGGGATTACAGGTTCCTGCCACCACACCCAGCTAATATTTGTACTTTTAGTAGAGACGAGGTTTTGCCATGTTGGTCAGGCCGGTCTTGAACTCCCGACCTCAAGTGATCTGCCCACCTTGGCCTCCCAAAGTGCTGGGATTGCAGGCGTGAGCCACCGAGCCCAGCCTCATCTGTGGCTTTCATACATTCATTTCTGGGAGGACTAACCCCCTTAGATGTGAGAACTCAAAAGATGGGGACAAATATGTACATACAGCCAACTCTTCAGCCTCTCCAAATATCCCACACTCCTTCCCACTCAGCACAATAGCCTCTTCTATCTCCTGAGCCAAGAATGGTACCTGGGGTGATAAACAGCATTCCAAACCCTGGTGCCTGAACACCAGTCCAAGGTGAAGTTTACACGCAACTCCAGTAAAAGATGAAAAATAAGTGGTGACTTTTTTCAGAAAACAAGAGGTTTTCAACTTAAGCAGGATTCTTATTTTTGGTGTTAAAATGCCCATTAATGAAATGTTTCTAATTTTTAATAACCCTATCTTGGTTCCCAATGTTTTTTTCCCAGTGAGATTTTAGTAATCCATGAAATCTAAGAATCCAGGAAAAAGTATTTTTAAATACATGAACATAATAAAAAGGTTAATAACCCTGTGAAGACATAAATAAGGTTCTTGATGCAACCTGTAAGAAGTTAAATGTGAGGGAGTAAAGCCCTTAATAACTCACAATAGCCTGTTTGAATTGTATTGGAACTCACTTCTCTCTCCTCTGGGTCCCCTGTGTTCCGAATACCCTTACAATGCAGGTCCCCAGGTACATGACTTCTACACAGTAGGACAGAAAGCCCCTCAAAGGCAGCAACTCCACGGTAAGCCTGTTCAATCCTCTGGTATTACCTAGGACAGCATCTTGCAAAGGGTAGGTGCTAAATCACACTGGAAAACATCAAGTTTCTAGGCCTAGTGAACCTTGTAAATTGCCACAAATCACAATGAACAGAGATTCCTGTGATCCATCAGGGGCTACACCTGGGAGAATCTTGATAGAATTTGGGGAAATGTCTACTTACTAATGTCAGGAAGCTTAAAAGAAGACTTAGAATGGCTGATGGTATCGTAACTGGAGGGGAAAGCCATGTGATTTGATGTGAGTGTATTGCTTAAGGAAGTTCTGTTTTTGTTTTCTTTTCCAAGTGTTAACTAATAAAACTAGGTCACTGAAATGGCCCTGGAGGCTTGCTAGAGACATTAGCATTCTGCATGTCTAATCCCAACAGCTTACCAGAGGAAAGGGTCAGGGAGACAGAGATGCATCAGGAGAAAAGCAAAGTCCGGACGCTCCCCTGCCACCATCCTTCCACTTCTGCTCCCTCCTTCCTGAGATGGTACTGACTAGAGGCAGGACGCTGCAATGTTCTTGCAGAAAGAGGACTCAGTTTTAAAGATTTCAGATCAATAGCGCCCTCTCTAAGGACTACTTTATGAAGCAACTCTGTCTTCCCCTCAGGACGCCTGGCAGACCCTTCCATCGCTATATCCCACCTCCCAGCTGTAGATTAAGAAGATATATTACAACTTCTCCCCTGGCCCTGCACAGGTTTGCCAAATACACCCCGAAGCTGGTCCCTATTGTCCGAGATTTATAACCAGGTGATTGTGAGTAGACAGGGTTGGCTTTGGACCATAGGCAAGATAGGCTGGGGGTTGGGGAAAATAGATGATAATCATAATAAAAAGGCAATACTGCATTTCACTTTGCCTAATGTATGGCTTCAATAGGAAGCCAGTCCACCCACAGGGCTGTCTCAGTCACTTAATAGACTTCTGCAGCAGCAGGAGTCTCCTGTTCAGAAAGAAAAAGGACCACACTGGTGTCCTGAGAAAGAACAAAGGCAAAGGACCACAGTGTTCCCAGCTATCATTCTTAGGGTGGCAGGAACACAAATGGGGACCCATTTGGCTCTTTATTTGGGCTGTTGATGAATAAACCCTCTCCCGCAGAGTCCTCAAACCTCCAGCAGTTTTAATTAAAACAAAAGAAATGTCAGCAGGGAAAGGACTGGAATATAATTAGGGCCCACCAAATCTGAAGTAATATGGGGGAAAAAGACTAGTAATGAAAGGGAAGCTTTCAGGTTCTTACTGAATCCAGGCTCTGTTGCCGACACAAGAATCAATTTCAATAGGCTTTAGTTGTATCTGAGCTGGAACACAGTGACAGATGAAATTAGTGAGCAACTTACTGGAGTCATAATGATTCCCACGGAAAAAAAAAAAAAAAAAAAAAAAAGAAGACTACAATGAGCACTCCCAACCAAATCTCTCCTCTGTAAGAATGTGTGTGTTTTTTATACATACATATAATGTACACATAATTACTAAAATTATATCTAACATTTATATACCTACAAACATATACAGGCTGAGTGTGGTGGCTCATGCCTATAATACTAGTGCTTTGGGAGGAGATTCTCCTGCAAGGCAGGAGAATCACTTGCAGCCAGGACCTCAAGGCCAGCCTGAGCATCATAGTGAGACACCGTCTCTACAAAAAAATTAAAAAATTAGCCAGGCCTAGAGGCATGCACCTGTAGTCCCAGCTACTCAGCTGAGGTGGGAGGATCACTTGAGCCCGAGAGTTGGAGGCTGCAGTTAGCTATGATTGTGCCACTGTACTCCAGCATGCGGGACGGAGTGAGATCCTATCTCTACAAAAAATTAAAAATGATAATATTGTATTATAGAAATATACATTATAAATATATACATATGGAGGAGAATTTAAAAAGTATATTTTTATCCTGAAAAGTGTAAATTCTCTCTCTCACACCCTTTCGATAGTTTTCAACGGGGCAATTTTGTGTCCCAGGAGACATGTGATGATGTCTGGAGACACCCTTTGCTTGTTATGACTGCAGCTACTGACAAGTAGTGGGTAGAGGTCAGGGATGCTTCTAGATCTTCCATAAAGCACAGGGTGACACCCTTCCCCAACAAACAATAATTGGGCCCAAAATGTCAATGGAGTCAAGGTTGAGAAACCATATTTTAAAAGAATTTGACATTTAATACGTGCTCAGTGAATGCTGAAGTCTATGAAATGTCAGATTCCACAGTAGGCACTAATATTACCAAGATCAAAAGATAAGGTCCTGACCTCAGGGATCGCCCATGGGTTAAGGGAGCACAGCAGATGAATTGTTCTTTCATTGCTTAATAGAATCTTATAGGTGAAATCTTTTCTTAAATCCCAAAAATGTATGTTCTTTAGAAACACAGGCAATTCTATACCCAGTGGCTTCTGAGACCACTTTTCAACTGGCTTTTATGTGTGTAAGAGGCCAATTATAAGACTTTCCCATTTAAGTAGCATAGTTAATTTTTTAAAAAAACCTGATGAAGTATTATTAGGACTAAATGGAATTTGGTTTATTATAACTGGACACAATTCTATCTAATTATATTAATTTTAGAAAGAATACCCTATTTTCATTTTAAAACAATATTTAGGTCTTAATAACTCTTCATAGTGTGTGTTCTTTCCTTCCTCTTAAAGAGTTACTTATAGTTTTAAGTTATTGGCAGCTCAATTCAGAAATAAATTGTTTGATTAAAACATAAATCATGTGAACATTTTTTTTTTTTTTTTGAGACAGAGTCTCGCTTCATCGCCAGGTGCCAGGCTGGAGTGCAGTGGCGCGATCTCGCACACCGCAACCTCTGCCTCCCGGGTTCAAGCAATTCTCCTGCGTCAGCCTCCCGAGTAGCTGGGACTACAGGCGTGTGCGACCACGCCCAGCTAATTTTTGTATTTTTAGTAGAGATGGGTTTCACCATGTTGGCCAGGATGGTCTTGATCTCTTGACCTCATGATCCACCCGCCTCGGCCTCCCAAAGTGCTGGGATTACAGGCGTGAGCCACCGTGCCCGGCCAATCATGTGAACTTTTAAGCTCAAAATGTAATGGTCAATGACAACAGGATAAAAGTGTCTGCCTTTAGCCAACATAAGTTCTTCAAATGCAGGGATATAGGAATCTTGCAATTGCTGTAAGTGATCTGTTTCTAAGAAATAAGGAAAACAAAATTCATTTTTTTTAGAAAAAATAAATGAGCAGAATTATTTTATATCACTGGTACCATTCACCACCTTTTAGGTACTTAAGGATTAAAGAACTCAAGATGGTCAAAGAGTTCTATAATATCCAAATATAGATTCTCCACAGTGTATGAAAGAAATAATTATGGCCTATTAATTGTTCCACCTGCAATAGCAAAAGACCCAGATCTCTGCAAAGGCTGAAAATATCTCTCCCCTCCAACAGATGTCTTCTCTGTCAGCACAGACTGCATTCACGATTGTGCTTTCTGAGAAAAGACCTGCATATTGTCCTTTGGGGAGGAGGGTGAGAGGACAAAAAGGACATTAGACAACTGAAGGTTGTTTTATAAATGCAAGATGGCTCTTATGTATTCATAGTCTTTCAAAGTGATGGCCATCACAGACTACAGCAATTTGTCAGCAAACACATCCATCCCTGGGAAGCTAGATGCTGGGAGTCAGTAGTCGAGTGCCTCCCAGAAACCTGTACTCTCCTGTCAAGACAATAATGCTGAGAACACTTTTGTCTGAAGTCGTGGGGGAGGGGAGAGAGTGAAATATGATGCCACACTGAGAAAGAACAAGGGCTCTTTTAAGTAAATATGATATGCCCCAAGCTCTGGGTAGGCCTGCATGGGAGGGTAGCTGACTAGTTAATAAATGCATTGATTTACAGCTAAATTTAGCTGCAATCCAACTATAACCTGTCGGGTAGCTTCGTCTCAAGGAGGGTGAGTTTTCCCTGACTCCAGTGAAATTCTTCTCTCCACCACATTTTCATGCCTTCAGTTTAGGTTGACTCATCAGAGATCATGAGAC